TATTTTACACTTCATAGAGTAACACTGTGTTATTTTACACATTTGACAGTTAACTTTATGCTATGTTTCATAGTAAAATTGTACATTGATATTTATTCTACATAAAGTTACACTGCCTTATGTGACATTGATAAGGTGACATGAAACTGTGTTTTACATTGTCACGATGTATAATATAGCATATTCTATGTAATCAATGTATAGAGTTACAATATTTAGCGTCACAAATGAAAGGGCTATAATGTAAGGAGTTACAATGTAAAGAGCTACACTATTATTTTATATTAGTTATGTTTATAGGACAACAATATATTTGGTTGCAATACCTTTTAAATTTTAAGCAATAATTTGGTAACTGTTAAATTTCTATAGTAAAGAAATTAACATGTTAAGGTCAGTTGAGAATATATGAGTATTTGTAGAATTGAAAGATTCTTGTTCTTGTAATATAACCAAATGATTCTGAATGTCCTTATTTAATTGTATTGCTTAAAGTAAATGTTGTTCAGGTGGCATTGGTCAATACACGCTTTGTTAATAACTGATAAATCATCGCTGTAAATCCTAACAGAAAAAAGTATGAACTCCGAAATCAATCAACAAACACAAAAGACACAGACAGATGAAAATAACATTCTATTATGAAATGTTAATTTGTTCTAGCAGGGCATAATATGAATATAATACCCAGACTTCTGGTCGACTGGTAATTCCTAATTAACTCGATATCCCTGTAATGTGTTTTCGCATCATATGACACTTCAGTGATCAACTGTCTCTTTTGTCGTCCAGAGCGTCGTTGATACAAGTACAACCATACCTCTCTTTTGACAATATTTCGGAATCTTTTGAGGTCCCTTGATTACGAATCGAGCAAATAAGTTTTGGGAACATTTCGGTGACTGTCAAATGGGAGTAATTCTTACCAGAAGAACTTCATAAAGGTAACTTGACGAAATTCAAAGAAGCAACAGGTCTTTGCCAAATAAGGAAAAACTGAACAATGAAATTTTTTTTTTTTTTTTTTTTTTTTTTTTTTTTTTTTTTTTTTTTTTTTTTTTTTTTTTTTTTTTTTTTTTTTTTTTTTGTTTTTGTTTTTTTTTGTTTTTTTTTGGTTTTTTTTTTGTTTTTTTTTGTTATTTTGGTGTATTTACGCAAAGACACCAGGAAAAGCCTTACTTTCACAACTCTGGTTATTTTAATGATGCTTCTTACCTATGAGAGATTTTCAATGATGACTTTTTTAGATCTTGTAAATAATTTGGTTATTTATTCCCTTTAGAATCCCTCCCTTTGATACCAGGGGACCAAAACAAATAGATCTCGCAAATTTTGATTGGCTTACTCTATGCATGCTCATCAATGACTCATGAGGCAATATTTAAGTCTCAAAGAGAACCAGAGATGAAGCTACGACTTAAACTTTGAAGGAAGAGAATTGACTTCTGATAAACTCCTGAGTGTAGGAACATCTCCAGTCAAAGCCATCCATGTTTACACATACACTAATGAGAAATAAAACACAATACAGACAACCAAATATGAACAACTAGGTGATAAAACTGCCCTTTCAAATTGAAAACTTTCAAGTGAGATCTCCACAGCCTTTCTTATCGATGGAAAACTTCTATCTTTCCAGCTAGATATCTGCAGGACAGGAAACCCACGAGGTATATCTCTTTCAACTGAACATGAGCCTCTATAAAATCTAGCAAAGTAAGGCGGTCGTTGACGACGAACATTTCCGTCAAGTGACAATCATTTACTGAATTTGACGTCAGATAATACTTTCCTGGGTTTTACTCAGGGTAGTACTTCGCACCCGATTTGACATGAGGATTTTTGAGGATCACGCTGTAGTGAATTTAAAATGGGGCATAATTTTCGGCCTTTTTTTTTTTTGGTTAGGTTCTGGTTGACAACGTATTCATCGACTTTGGTGGCAAGATTTTCCAAGACTACTTGCATACCGTTAAGAACACGCTGTGCCCATCTGTTGGCTATCTTTGTTTAAATTCAAAGCTGAATTTATGGAGGAGCTCATCAAAACAGGTCGCAAAGACTTTGCAAAGTACTTCAATTCCGCTTTCAGATATATTTTTTAATGTCTTCCGATAATAAAGTATTTATGAACAATGTCCATCGTATAAAGAACTGATGAGAATATATACTGACCTCGATCTTTTTCCTACCAACATGGACAGCTTTCAACCAAACTGTGTGATAAGCGTTATGATTTTAATTTCCCTATTGTGATTTTTCCTTTTCTGGATAGCAACATTCCTGCATCTCAAATTTTCAAACGCCTGTTCGCAATAATACGATTTTAGTGCAAGATGTCGTCAACAAACAAACTTATTACACAGTATCACCCTGTAGTTTACACTTGACTAATTGTGTATGTATATTTTGACCTTATAAGGTATATACATGTGGTATAACCATGTTCTTGCAAGGTTGTACTGTGTGACGAAAAGCTTTTAACAATAACAGGTCAGACGGTGCAGATTACTTGGGTCCGTTATTTCAATATATTATACATATGTATACACTAATTTACATATCAAATATTAAAATATTTTAAAGCGATATAGACACCTAATTAGTTTTCTCAGCAGATAGTCAATGTAAGCGGATTCCCAAACGACTAGTGCCAATTTGCAAAGTGGCAAGTACCAAGGAAATGCCTTCAATGGTATTTGAATGCAGTAATGAAATACATGTACGGAGAACTTCTAGCAAAGCTCATTGTCTTTATTTCTATGATACCTCAGCGTGATGGGAGTTGACATTTGATCTGCATCATAATACGATTGTTCAGTCTCAGAACTCTCTTTATACAGCGATGACCTTTCATACGAGATGCAAGACGACCATACGAAATATCTTTAATTTTTTTGGAGGAAATGTTGTTGCCATAGACAAGTTTCCTTGATGTTTTCCATTGCATTATTTAAGATAGATTCCCAGTGAAATCAACCGCAACTCTTTTTGATTCTTCAAATGGTCACAGATGAAATTGACATATTTGAAAAGAAGTCGACTTGTCGACTTAATTTTGATATTATCTATAATTAGAATAAAATATGCATCATCTTTGGCTTCAAATGCTTATGGTATTTACCAAAGAAGCAATGTGTGTAATATATCAATAATCAATTTAACGAATTACTGATAGACAACTTCTCTTATTACCTTTTTCTATACTTATGAAACTGAGTTATTTCTCTCCCTGTAATGTGAACATCATTAAGGCCGTATGCTGGGGGAGGGGTTGATCATTTGTTCTGTAAACTAGAGGCCCAATAGGCCTGCATCACTCACCTAGTATTCAATGTTAATCAGAAATAGAATCGGTGTTTCTATCACAAATATATTGGTACATCCAATGAATTTTAACCAGTTTACTCTACAAAAACCTTTGGGCCAGGTGAGCTTAAAAGAATTGACCATTGATATTTTGAACATGTGTCAATGTCATTTCTTTTGTTAGGCTTTACCTTAGCAACCTACAAGTCAAATATCATGCTTCTAGGCCTTTTGATAAAATGGGCAAAGGTCATTCATTTAAACAAACTTCATCCCAGCATATTGCACTCCTAATATTAACACCCTCGGCCTTCCAGTTACCAAGTAGTCATTTGAAGATTTTACGAAAGATGTTAACATAATGAAGTGTGACCTCGATTTAACTTTCTTTTCATGTAAATCATTAATTAATTAGTGTTGAACCGATTTCCGTTAACTTTATCTCGCTTTTGAATCTTTTATATATACTGGAGGAATAACAGTGTTATAATGCTTTAACATGCTATATTTGTGCCTTAGATATAATATATTTATGACACCAAGATTAAGTAGGCTTTTCACTGATTTCACTGACATATATCCTATCTAGGGCATTGAGTGATTGTTTCCTGTATTGGTTCTCGAGCAAGAACTTCGAAAATATATACACAAGTATCTTATCTTAACTATGATTTAAAATGAATTGTTGTTATACCAGCAATAACATAGTTCTTTCTGGTGTGGTGTGCAGTGTCAATATGACGCTATACGTTCTCCGAATAAAGCTGTAACGTCTTACTGAAAGTAAAAACATGACCTGAGATACCTTTACATTGGCTATATATATAAATATATATATAGGACCAAAACGATTCTACATTATAAAGTGACAAAAGTTTTATATTATTAAATGAAAGTACAGCAATTTTTTAAAGTAAGTTCAATTCTTTGTTTTTCACTAGCTTTTGCTTCTTTACACCTTGACGTGAATAAAAAAAATTACTTCGAGAAGATTTCGCGAAAAAATAACAAATAAAACAAAGGCCAGTTTGAAAACTTATACTTGTAATATGCTTGTGAAAATAACCGACAGACTTTACGAATGCCGAGGAAGATAATAATTCAGCCTCTTTTAGTAGGAAACTATGGCGAGAAAAGTATAACAACTGGTTACAAAGACTATCCTGTGTTGAGATGCACAGTCTATAGTTACAAAATACGTTTTCTTGAATTGACCAAAATGTGTTGGAATATAGACAAAAGTATACATTATTTACAGCAATTGGGAATAATTCCTTTATAAAATTTGGAAATGAAAATAAAATAAAAACGGTGCGCAAACTCGGGGATGGTGGTAATGATAAACAGGTTTTAATCCAGCAAAGCGTCTGCGATGTTCTGGTCTAAGATTTATGTCATTTTTCAACAAAATGATTGATATCCATAAGAAATTTTCAGCGGGAAACCATGCCTAAGGGTAGTAAGGTTTTATAAAGTACCTCAAGAATATAATTTATTGTTCCGAATGCAAAAAAGTTACGCAATATCAGGGGGATATGTATAGAGTTCCAATTGGATGAATAGGCAAGAAGTTGTCTAAACAAGTTCGAGCGGACGGACGAACGGACCGACGGACTAACGAGCGTGTCACCTTGGTATAAGCTCACTTGCACTTCGTCGTGTAAGCGAGATACAAATAAGTAGAAATGACAAATATTTCGAGATTTTTTTAATAGAGCATTTACAAAATTGTACCATGAAAGACATACCGTAAAACCATCTAAAAATAAATTATATAAACATTCTTTTTTGTCATAACTGTTCTATTTGTTGTAGTACATCGCTGCATTTCGCACTGATTTTGAGGGAAGCCAGTTTGTCTGCGCGTGTTGGTCCTATATTAACGATGGCTATGGGTTTCTTTTGTGTGGATGCAGCATTCACAAAGCGGAATCCGGAATACACCTACAACAAATCATTTTGTATATAAATGTGTATATAGTTTGTAACAAATAGGTTAATATCATATTTAGAGCCGTGTGTTCCGATGACCTGTAGTCATCTCGTTAAACAATGTATTTGAAATTTAATAAAGCTATTGAATTTTCAGGCTTGCGAACTTTCCCTCTGCTTTTCGATATTCCTTTCGACAGATTTTGATTCCCTACAGACGCCTCATAAATTTCCAAAATTTAGGACTTTAACATTTAATATCGAGTCCTTGAGGAACGGCACAAGTGCTTGATGTAATTTAATTATCATTTTGCGTTATCTAATAACAATGGGAAATAGTTTTAAATGGCGAACGTCGTCGATAAAGCAGAACAGGCTTATCCTTTCGGAATATCTGGTCTTATCATCCTTGTACTTTTTACTTATTTTTAATAATTTGACCCGTTTTATCGGATTTGAGTTTGGATTTTTATTGTCTTGAGATGCTGGTATTTTCTTAGTTGTTTGAAATGAAACGGTTTTCATTCTGTTGTGTGTCTTCTCTACAATCATTTTTCAATACCATATATATATATATACACACACAAACGGAAGCTAATTCTAAAACAACAACAATATCAAAGTAGGAGACAGCACACAGACAATAAGAAGAGTGATCCAATATTTCACCTCTAATGATGAGCCTAGAACAAGAACCGCATCCGCCTCCTCCACTTTCTTAAACACAAAGTTGACAATAGGTTTGGGGACGTTGTCACCAAAGAAAATGATCTCGGGTTTGAGAGCCCCTCCACAGGCTGGACACTGAGGAACCTACATCAAAATATAAGAAAAAGTATTAGTATATTACAGTACATCATAACACCACTGAGGATATTAGAAAAAAATGTTTCGGAGAAATAGAAAGTATAATTATGTTGCCTGTCAACAGGCATGATGGGTTTATGAAAGGGTTATAACCTCTTTTAACTTTCAATTGATACTTGAAATATATCGAGCACCGATGACTGAGTAATATCTAAGAGAAATGGAACAAGAAATAATAGTTTACGTTCCCACGTGTACATGCGAAGCTGAATTCTCTTATAGAACATTTCACTATAAGAATGTATATTCACTTTCCGCGTCAGTGGTTAGTTAGAATACCGTGAAATCCTTAGAGGGATCTTATAATTATCATCATATGATCCTAACTTGTTCCCGGTAAGATTCCGATTTCCTCATATTTCTCTCTTTATTATGTTGTATTTATAATCAAAACAAACATCGATGAGACGTTAAGCAATATAAATCAAAACAAAACAAACATCTACTATAAAACCAGTTTCTAATATATATATACAAAGATGTACTAAACGACACCTGTTTACTGTTAACTAAACCACAGGAACACAAATTCAACAATTTTATTCGAATTAGTGATGTCAATTAGTATTCAAATGTCAAATCCAAGATGTCGACTATTGTCGAGAGTGTTGCAAAAAAAATGTATCCTAGCCTTCTCTCTAAAATTTAAGTTATATACATAAAATAGCATTCAAAACATCAAATGAAAAAAAAAACAACCATGAACAACCTATTTGAATATTTAGATGAATTAAAATTAACATACAAATTAAAATAAACAGTTCACTTTCTAAAGCTTCATGAAATCCCTCCAAACAACGCTTACATGATTCAAATGTCCTAATTCATAATGACACTTCGAGACCATTATTAGAATCGGATTAAACTTGTGTTACATTTACTTATTCGGGTTTTTTTCATAAAGGTTTCTGCAGTATTGAATTGAGAAAAAGCTAAGCAAAAATTTGATAATGTTTTTGATGGCAATCTGGAAAATATTATATATGTACAACTAGAATCCGAAATAATCCTATTCCTGGAGATTTATGAAAACATACGGTAAGACGTTCTTTAGAAACAGTAATTGAAATCTTCCAATCTCAAAGACAAAAACAATATTCAAATATAATAAACATAACTTTAATCATTTTGATTATGAAGTTAAAAGATTCAGAATATCCCAGCTGTCAGTCTTAAGAAATATCAGTATCACACATCACAGATCAACTGCCAACTTTGATATTTGATGGTTTCCCTTGCACTCGTACAGTTTTAGATCCTTTTTGGGATCCTACGAGAAGAGCTAGGAATTAACCTGGTGTTCCAATTATATGATCATAAGAGGCGACTAATCCTTTAAAATCTTTCTTCTTTCTAATGTGTCCTTTGACTCTTTTTAATCTTTTGTTCAGCATTCGCCTCTGTGAGGGAGATTTTTGGCAATAGTTTATACCCTCTTCTTAACGTTCAGCATGGTGGTAGTGTCACGACTGGTTTGCCTGCCGCAAGTATAATATAACCTGCACAAGGCCTTAAGCAGCAGCCAACTTTTCATTGTCAGCCTAACTATCACAACGAGGCTAACATTAACATAGCGCAGCATTTCAAAATCATACATATTTAACACTCACTTCGCATAGGACGGTTATAAAAATCAAAAGCATACCAGACTCTTTGGTGTCCTTGCACAGTCGTCCTAGTATGGTTTACTGACGAATTGACAGACCTTAACAAAATATTATTTTAAAAAGCCTTGCATCCTATGGCAGTATGCTAATAATGTGCAGCTCATTCATAAATATTGAAACATGACACGATTATGTTAAATATGCAAATCACCATTGCTTTATAGCAATAACATAGCATTAAGCTTCATGAAAATACCAACATCGCAACAGAATCATAATCTTAACTCAAATTCCATAAACCTAAGGTAAAATATAAAAATAGGAAAGCTTTACACGGAGACTCCGGAAAAACAAGTGCAAGGGGAATATGACCAGGTGTTCCAGAAGAGTAAGCGTCTTCTGTTTCATCGACTACACCCGCAATGTAAACCTTAGTCAATCCAAGTAAGTAAGTATACAATACGGAACCAACAGGCACACTAGCGAGCATCAAACACGTCCAGCTTCATATCACACAAAGAAATAGAATATTTCTCAATGAGATCACTATTGATCATAAAACTTCCCCATCATTTTCATCAACCTGCATCATTTGAACCCCTTTGTTACGAGTTTGTCAGTCAATTGACAACTTCTTGCACGAAAATCGTGATGATAGGAAGAGATCCTCTTGACATGTAAATACCATAGGTTTGATATGCAGGATATTGCAATCCAGAAATGAAACATTCACAATAGGGAAATCGAAATTATTACGTTTATCATACAGTTTGGTGGAAAGCTGTCCCTGTTGGTTTTGTTGTGAGGATATATACGATGGACGTGGTAAATAAATTTCTTGTTACTTTAAGACATCATCAATATATATGAAAGTGGAATTACACGACTTTGCAAGGACTTAATATGAAAATAAAAAGTCAGCCAACAGAAAGGCGCAGTTAGTTCCCATAGCTTACCACCAAACTCGACGACGATGTTGTTAATCAGAATCTCGATCATTCTGATAACTTCGTCCTCCGTATATTTCTTCTTTGATTTGGACGTATTTTCTACGAAATATGCTTCACTTTAGTTCACAACCATATACAAATACAAACGTTCACCTTTCTTAGAGAAGAAAGATCACATAACAAAAGAACGAATGCGTGCCTTCAGTTTAAAATGAGTTATGTTGGTGTACAGGGTAGAAAAATCAAATGCTCTAATAGAAGAAATGTTTTTAGAAGAGAGTTTTTAAGGTTGGACAAAAGCTCTTTGGAAGGTCTTCAAAATCCACGTACCATTAATTCCAACTCGTGGGTAAACAGTATCACAATAAGACTGTAACCCAGATTTGATAGTACTTGGAATGGTGATCAGTAGCTTTGACAACGGCTTGTTTGAACAGCTAGATAAGCCAGGTATAAAACGTTGTTTAAATGGCTTCTTGTGAATTTTAGGGATCCAACATAAACGGGGGACGTCCGTATCGTTATCATTAATAGGCAATCTGAATAATTTTAATACCGAAGCATGATTAGCTAGTATTCTGTCTTTTGAAAGAATGCATAATATATAGGTGGGGGTTTCTTCGCTATCAAGCAAGCCCAGTTGTTTTTGTATATATGTAATGATGTTTGCAGACAAGGATCAAGTTACTGGACGCCTTATCAGCAGACACAATAACATACCCGTCATGTAAAACTTAAAGTATGGATTAAACATCGGGATCTAGGAAAGCTGGCCTGTGTTTTGTTTACAAATTTACAACATTCTGTCAAGTACTAGTTTGGATATTCATGATCTATTTAACTGATAAGGTTTATGAAGTAATTATTCATAATAATCACAAGATACAAAAAAGCATTTAAGTTTATTTGGTGTAGTGTAGGCTTTTATCAGAACATAAATATTGATTTTATCTCCTGTTTACGTGTTATCACTTTGACAGTAATTTTATATTCTGGGCAATCGATTTATGTAAAGATAAAGTAATAAAATCATTAAAGTTGCATTACCTTTGTTTTTTTTTTTTTTTTTTATCATTATTATTATTTTATTTTGAGTTCACATTATAACATACAAATGAACAGGAGGATGTCATCGGCTAGGATGTCCTAACATTCTTTGAGGAATTTTCATACAAGATAATATCTCCTTGAAAATGTCTTGTATGAGAATTCCTCAGGGAATTTCAGGACATCCTAGCCGATGCCTTCCTCATGTTCCTCGAGAACATTTTATACAAGCCGTTTTTGAGGAGATATCAGCTGAGGAAAATCTCGACTTGAGGAAATCTAAAGTTGAGATGTTTTATACAAGTGGGGCCAGGTCTTATAAGTTGGCCGGGCGGGGAAAGTTGTTGACCTTAAAGAGCCCCTTGGTTCCAAGTGAGGCAGTAGTGGTAGTTTGAACAATTTTTTACATCATTAAATCTATTCTGAATATTTTGGCAGTTGAAGAAACAAAAACAACCGATTATAGCTGTTCATTTCAGTTTCAATAGCAGCAGTGAAACTGGAGCAGAAGCTGAAAATGGTGTCATGTCGATGAGCATGGCGGCCATATGGGATTTCAGAGAAGAACAGTCACAACACTTGGAAGGACCATCTTCATATCATTTCAGGAATTATTATTGCGCAATATGTTACAAAGTGGTCACGGTAGGTGACAAGTAGGAATTTTCAGTAAGTTAAAAAATAAAACCCTCTGTCAGCTTTTTGCATTCCTTAACATCCCCGTCGATTTTCAACTCATTGACACCAGGAAAACTGCTGGAGAAGTTAGGATGAAGTGATTCAAAACGGAAGTCATATTGGATGTCTGAATGACCAAAACAATACCATCACTTAGTCAGGAGCATCTCAGGAAGATTCCATGCAAGTTTGAGCTGAAACTCACTGCTGGGACTCGAGAAGTTTAAAATGCATATTTTAAGCGTAACAGAAGATGGTCATGATCATGTCACTAAATGCTCGCCGTAGCAGTTTTACTGAATTTTGACAAGTCCAAAATTTCGAGATGATTTATCGTCATCTTTTCATCCCTAGACCGAAACTTCCTGTCTCTAAAACTTTAATTTAATGTCAATATTCACACTTATTATGCTGTTACTGATATTATTTTCTTAAGGACTATGCTCATTTTAGAAACAGAACGGACCTCTTCATGAAAGTGGTAAATAAAATCCACCATGGATGCGATGGGCAGTTATTCCTGCAACGTACCCTGAAATTTTTGGTTCATTTAAAAACAAAACAAGTTTATTTACCTCACTCACCATTTCTGTCCTTATAGTTTGCTATTTGAAGCCATTCTAGTATGTTTTGCCACTCTCCGCTTCGGCATAGTATCGGGCTGTTTCGGGTAGTACCAGGCGGTACCTGCAGGCAGTTATTACTATAACTGGTAATGGGGTGCGTTTGAAACAAACCAAAACACACATAACTATCGATGTTTAGCTCTCAAGCGTGCATTTCCATTCGATCTTGAGATCCGGGTAATTGATCATGTGTTCAGCTTCAGCGCCAAGAAATGCGATACGAGGTTATTCGATAATCGACTAGATAATAAATCAAATATTAATGTAAACAAGCGGTCCGTGGATCTTCACGACCACATGATTATAAAGAGTACTGAAACAGACATAGTAGCGGGGGGAGCATTCCTGATCAATGAAGTACGGGACCCCACGTTACCTGCGGCCGTAAATAATGCTTTGGGATTTGGTTTGTGTAGGTTTTTCAACAATACATTTGTCTATCAAGATTTTGTCCAAGTGTGAATGGGACGTCGTATGTTCTCTACAGCACCTCATAGACTGGCTATGTGCCTCGTTATAATTTTAAAGAAAAAAAAACGGAACAAACAAAGAAGGATTTATGTTATTTTGTTCGAGATTGGTGTAGATAATCCAACAAAAATAGATAAAATCGTGTATAAAAATAACGAGTTTCTTTATTATTATGTTTGTGTATATCAAATAAAAAAAATAGCGACATGTATACATCCTGTTATATTTAGTGAACACTGATGTCGGAACTGTCGGTTGAATTTTTAATTTCAACACAATGGTACCCCCTCATTGGCGGTCAACTTGTCAAATTAAGTCGATGCAAGGTCTTGCGTGTACTTCTCTGTCTACAGAATGTGATGATCAGACATAATTAGACAACTGGACAGTATTTAGAAACAAAGCAGCTCTGGATACGATAGACAATGGCTGTCACTAGAAGCATATGTAACCTGTATGTGGTCCATGCCCTTGCTAACCTTTGTTGTGTAATACTATCTCCATTTTGCCATACTCCATGGATATTTGCTAACATAAATTTCTATATTTGAGCTACATGTACACAACTCTGTTATATATATCTGGATATTGGCAAAGCTCAGAAAAAAACATGTACATGTATCTGACTTATCTTTTAAAATTTATTTTTTAAATCTTTTTCCACTGTATTGAAATTTACGAAATTAGTTGAATTTAGGATTTGTCCACCTCTCCAACTGTTATTGACAATTATTATGACCAAAATTTTGAAATTAGTGCACCTTCTCACCTGGTTTTTTATTTTCCGACCAGATAGGATTAATTGACCTTATATAATTATCATCTGATGAGTTCTGAAAAGCACATTTCAGTTTATGATGTATCTAATTCTCAATTTGTATTGAGCAGTGTTATTTACATGTATGGCTGTTTGTACAACTGTAACCAGTGCTGTCGCAGAAAGCCTAAAAAACGCATTCTGATTTTTCAGATTTGGATGGCAGGAATTGTACAGTACATATATAAACATGTACAAGTACTTGTAACAGAAATATTAATGAAGCAAAGACTGAAACTATTCGGTAACATTGTGAAACTTTACGACTCCCTGCATCATTAAATTAAATTTTAAACATAAACACTGTCTCTGGGGTTGACATGCAGATATATTTGCTGTTGAAGCACTTTTCTAGATCTCATTATGTAAATCCTACAGTTCGAACATAGTACTAGAACTGTCTGACATAATTGTATACTTAAGACCGATGAGCATGTTTGTGCTTTTCACCAGTTTGTGCGTTGGCACGTCATGAAAGAAGCAAATTTTTTTCACATAGGTAATTTATGAGGAAAAAGAAAAAAAAAATTTTGTCGCTGGTGCATGTGATAAATAGAGGATGTTATTTTTCGTTGTCAGTTGTAATCCAATACTCTATATACCTGGGTACATACCTCACTCATTTTGTCTGTACAGGTACTGAATATTTAAAATTTGTTTATTCTGCAAACTTACCATGTAATAAGTGTTCAAACCTAAACATTCAAACATCTGATAGCATTAAAACTGAGATAAAAATTAGTTAAGTGTTTCCCTGATTTTTGAGCAACAGATAAATATATGACATACAATGATAATATCTGCCTTTGTTATACACATTCAAACAGAATAGGATATTTGTTAATGTTTCAAACATTATATCATATATATATATATATTAGAACTAATATTAAAACTAGCCATTTTACCTTATTCCCATTGAAATTAAAATGAGATACTATTGGACCAATACCCACTGCTTTCACACCTAAACCCTATTTAAAAAATTAGCTTGAGAATCCCCCTCCACCTGTAAATTGTAAATTTCTGTGATGCACCTGATTGCAAAATTTAGACAATTGTTGTAAATAGATTGTATATAGTTTTCCAACAATGGATAATCAAAACAGATCATGATTTTACCAGTTATAAAGTTTTTAAATGATTATTTCTACTTCAAGGTCACTTTGGCTCATTTACCAAGTTTGTCATCTTTATTTGGATCACACCGTATTGCATAGAAGAAACCAGATTTTGAACACTTGTCCTCATCCTATGTCGGACAAGCTACATGTAGATGTCTGACTGTAAACCATTTATAAGAATGAACGAATGATGATGATGATGATGGTGATGATGAGGATGATGATGATGATGGTGATGATGATGATGATGATGAGGATGATGATGATGATGATGATGATGATGTGTATATGAAGGAGGATGATGATGGTTATACATGTATATGGTGATGATTGTGTATGATGCTGCAGCTGATGATGATGATAACAGTGTATACATAGTTTATGGATGATGATGATGATGATGATGGTGATGATATGTATATGAAGGAGGATGATGATGGTTATACATGTATATGGTGATGATTGTGTATTGATGCTGCAGCTGATGATGATGATAACAGTGTATACATAGTTTATGGATGATGATGATGATGATGATGAATAATTCATTATCCCACATGTGAATGTGTGTGTGCATGTGAGGGAACATGTGTGTGGTTGTTTTTTTTTGTCATATGTGATGTACATATAATGAAAATTCTTTAAAAATAAAAAGTTACAAAAAACCATTTATAAGAAATTAATTATCTGCAATAACAGAAAACTGAAAATTGAAACTCAAATCTTGTTCTAAATTATATAATAAATATTACAGTATTCCCCCTGGCTTGATACAGGACAATAACTTACAGTGTATAACATTAGACAGTATGCAGGTTACCTAAATGTACATGACTTAATGTAAAAACTCTTAAGATACAAGTGTTTGGTGCACATTGCTTGGCCTGTTGGTTCCATTATTGTAAAACTTGCTCTCATTTGAGAACGGGACATTGCTTACTCTGATATATGGTGGATGCTGTTATTGAAGCAGAATATGTTTACCCTTCCAGAACACCTGGTCTTATTCTCCTTGTAATTTTTCTGGTTCTCTTTGTAAATCTTCCTTTTGTTCATATTTTGCCCCAGTTTTATTCGGTGTGGGTTTGGATTGTGATTGTGTTGACATATCAGTATTTTCTTGTTGAGTCCATCCATATTACAATCCATGGAAAGAATTCAAAATCAATATATATTGGTTTCAACCAAGCCTCATTAATATCATTGAAAAACCATTGTTTGAAACCATTGAAAATTTATTGAATAACAACCTATTCCTTTGATAAGAGGTCATTGTTCAGGACCAAAGAAAACCATTAGAAGACCTGGATATTTATTAATAAGATATTTAAAATTGTTCATAAGGTATAATGAGATAACATTATTTCAACTGGCGTTTCAAAGGTCCAAGTACAGAAACCAAATGGCATGGCTTGTAAGGCTATGCAATCTATAGTATTTCAAAGGCATTTCAATGCCACAATCAAAATGATAAATAAATGAACTCAAACTTGAAATCTTCAGTTATAAACATATATAGAAGTCATTAGCGATTACTATTGCAAAACCAATTGCTGCCATCAGTTTCATTTGTTCAGCAAACAATCAGGGATGGAATGAGACAGATTCTCTCTATTCAAATTCGTAGGGAGTAGATTGTATCTTACCTAGGCCATAATTACCAATCATATTTTACTTGCTATAAGGAAATGAATTTGAGGGCTTAAACAATACCTATGAATCCAAGTCAATTTGGGGCCTCACCGCAGGGTGTTTAACGCAAGTATAAATAATTTATTGGCAAAGCTATTTATCAGTCATGGATACAAATAAACTTTGAAGTACTTTTCCCCAGGGTCATTTCCTGGGCGCCAATCAATATCAAAGATGTCATTATTGTTACATTGTTTCCAAATAGGATTGATCCACAGATCTTCGCTAGACATCATGCTCTAAATAACATCTCGATTTAAAATAATCTTTCTCAGCGAAGTCAGCAGAATTCAGTTAGTGTTTTATCATAGGGTTTTCCATAATTTTCTGAGTAGTAGGATGTGTAGTGAAAGTAGGAGGCTGGCAAAGCCAGCCAACCCGAGCCACAACGCGGTGAGGTAGGGGTGGCCTGCTGTGTACGTGTAGTCGTGTACGGAATATTATTACAGAACTGGATTGGTGTAGGCGGCCAAATGATCAAAGTAGCCGGTCAAATTGGCTGGCGACTGGCTCCTATGGAAAACCCTGTTATCTTGCTAGGTTATATAGATATCTGTACAATAAAATTCTATACACAAAGTTTCAAAAGACTATACCTCTGTCTTTACTTGCCTGTGGTTTTAAGAACCCTCTGCTACACTATCTACATGTATATATACCTTGAATCCTTCCACCTGTCTTGTGGTGAGCTGGACATCTCCATCAGGTGCCATTTCCACAGACTTGGCCTGCCACAGCGGATTGTACTTCTCGATCAGTTCCTGTAATTGTGTTCGTGTCATCTTGGCATCACAGTTCAAACACATAACTCTGTGGGCACTTCCATGTAATTCAGTGAGATTAACACTGCCTGCCTTCATGTGTAAGGCATCAACATTTTGAGTCACTAGCCAGTTTACTTTTCCTACGATTTCCCACTGACGTAAAATTTTATGACAAATATTTGGAAGAAAGGATGAAAATACAGGCCATCCGACATAATTTCTGGCCCAGTATCTTTGACGAATAGTTTCACTTTTAACAAAGTCATTGTATTGTACAGGTCTATTGTCACTTCTAGCATAAAGTCCAACACCCTCTGATCTGTAATCAGGAATTCCACTCTCTGTGGATAATCCAGCTCCAGTCAACACTAGTATTCTATCATTCTTTAACAAGAAGTTTCTCAAATCATCAATGTCCAAGTCACTGGCTGGTTCTGCTTTTGGCACGAATTTATTTCTTAATGTATGCACTGCTCTCTGCTGTACCAGTGTAAATCTGAATAGTTTTCTCAACAATGACATTATAAAATGAATTACGCAATTAATTTTGTGTTCGGCCTTTGCTAAGACTTTTCAAAATATTTAAACATACAGATTAATAATCTCTTGATCGTTGGTTTCCTACATCGTATTATTTTCCTTATCAGAAACAGTTTTGTCAGTTACTGCGAATCTGGATTAAGTTTAAAATGTGAAATTGACACTACACAATCTTATAACTTATGAAGATACATTACAGTTGAAGAGTGAAGATGTATCTGTTGTATTTACCAATTGGCATTGAAAGGATTACGAAAGTTGACGTAACACCGAGACTGTAAGAATTATCTCCCTTAGAGGAAAATGTACATTTCCGGTTTGCTAAGCTGAAAGCGAAAGTAAACATAATTACATCTACATCACTTGGTATCCCGTTACAGAAGAAAACTGGCTCGTAAGCATTGACTGCTTTGCATTATATGTCCCTATATCTTTTCACAACATAATGGATCCCATGGTACGGGATAAGGAGTGTGAAGGAACGGGGGAAACACAATCCGGCATGTCCATGTGGTTGTAGCATTCTCCGTCAGTTGAGTGAGGTGACCTATATATTTAACACTGTGTACAAGCCATGCCAACGTGCCCCTTTTACGTTATGATACATCTAAGTCGAAAAGCAGATGATTTAGTTTCTTCTGGTCCAACGATTTGTAGACGTTGAAAATTTTCCTGAAATGACCATGGATTCCCTGACCAAGTGTCGTTTGAAGCAAAGGAACTTGCCACTAATTCCCAAATACGGTCTACATATATAACTAATATGTCACTAATATAAGTATATATATACATAGACCATGGGTTGGGAATTCGGTCAAGTTCTGTGGTATTGAGGGTTCTGACTATCAATGCACAATTTTATTTCAGTCTTGGTCACTGTCGAAACTTATCATGTTCCACCAATGAGGTTCAGTAGGAACATTTTTTTAAATTCGTCCATGCATGCTTCCCTGCAAATAAGGAATCAAAGCCAAGCTTTTAATCTCAAACATCGTTTTTTGTACAACAAGCAGAGTGGAAGAAACATATTTGAGACATTTAAAGAGGTCATATTTGAAACCACGTGGAAGCAAAACTCTCATTGATGAACTGGGGTAGTAGTGCTTGCTAGTAAGTTTTAACAAAGATATTTTACCTTACCCACAGATTGTGGTTTAAACTGCTGGAAAGGATGGATACATGAAATTTGTGATGAAAGAATGCACACTGATCCAAATTTTTATAAAGCTACCATTATTTACTAATGAATTATTATCTCCACAGGTGTTCGGTCTATGCTGAACCTTTTCAGACAATCTGGTATTAAGGTTTCCCGGTTGTCTGCTCAAGCGTTGTTTCACACAGAGAGAGACGTGGTAGCAGAGCTAGAAGATATGAAGCTACAGTCAGTGGTAGGACTTTTGCATCAATATGCTTCACCTAAACTGGCAGGGAACTGGGACAATGTAGGACTGCTGGTGGAGCCAACAGATCCACATGAGGTAGTTTTGAAAATTGATTCATATTTATATCAAATCAAATATACCGTGTGTGGGTGTATGTGTGAATGTAATGACAATGTTTACATGAGTGCACATGGGAGACTCTATAACTCTTGGTTATATTAGACCCGGTCCACTTCAAAGTAGAAAATGTATACAATGCAACATTGTGTTGAAAATCAGTTGTTCACTTGAAGTCCAGCAGTAGGTCGAGACTGACTGATCAAACATTTTGGCATCCATCACTTTTCAGGTTCCGTCTTCCTGTTCATGTCTGTTCCGTCTTCCAGTTCCTGTTCATTGTAATGAAAATCAGTTGTTCACTTGAAGTCCAGCAGTAGGTCGAGACTGACTGATCAAACAATTTGGCATCCATCACTTTTCAGGTTCCGTCTTCCTGTTCATGTAGCGGCAGATCCACCTTACATTTGTGTACTGACAATGTAAAAAATTCTACGTTACCTTGGACACTTGAAACTGTTGTCTCATTGTGGCAAAATAATTGATGTTACAATGTACATTAACAAAGCAGAGAATGCTAATGATTATCTTTAAAAAGTGTCCCATATTTGGAAGCGTCACTTATCTTGTTACATTGCTTTTCAGGAAAAAAAAGTTGTTTAATATTTTGATAGTGTCATTTCAAACCGTCCTGCTGATTTTACACAGGAACATATGATATGAATACATCCATTATTTACAATAATAGAGCTTCACATGATTCACCCAATGAAGAAAGAAGATTTTTGTATACGGCAGCATATGTACTTGTCAATTTCTTAGTTCAATTTTTTTTTAAAGAAATGCTGCAAGTTGATAGTAGACATAAATTTTACACAATACTTAAAGGTGAAAAGAGATACATGGTAATTGACTTAATATTGCATTGTCACAAATTTTGATATAAATGAAAAACTAAAAAGCAAACCATTTTATTCATTATTCAAAAACAAATAATTTTTATCTAAATATTTAATCAGTCAACCTTGACCTACTGCTAGGCTTCAAAGTTGAGATGCTGATTACATGTAGAGTAGATCAAAGAGAAGTTAATACAATGTAGCATTTGAAACATTGTTCTGAGTTCCTGTTAAATGATTAATTTTCATGAGAAATTTAATTTCATTGATTTTGATCAGATGCTCACAATTGTAGACATATGTTCATATGTTTATAATTTGTTCAAATTTGTAAGTAAATTTTTTTAGCTACCAGGAATACTTATTCACAATATCTAGTGTCCCCAAAATTGTAATTCTCTGAAGAACTAGCTAGGAAAATTGACAACTTCAATGACAGTATCAATAAATATCAAATGAAACCCGAATTGATCTATTTTACAACTTTTAAGTTAAAGTAGTTAAAATCATCTGTTGCATTAGTCACTTCAACTTCACAAAAGGCAACAAATAATTTCAAAGAATTTGAATTTAACAACAACAAAAAATGAAAATTTTTTTTTCAAAATGAAACTTTCAAATTTAATCTTAGAATGAAGCCTGAAGAATCAAAATGTAACATTTGGTAATGTGTTATACTCCATAATTGTATTGCATTGCAATAATAAACACATGGAATAGATTGTAGTTTTCTTAAAATTTATGTACTCCAAAGGTGAAAAGACTGTTCCTAACAAATGACCTCACACCTCCGGTGTTGGATGAGGCTATTGGAGAGAAAGCTGATATGATCTTGTCCTACCATCCTCCACTGTTCTCCGCTGTGAAGCGACTCACTCAGGCTAATTGGAAAGATCGTGTCATAACAAAGTGTATAGAAAATCGGATAGCAGTATTCTCGCCACACACTTCCTATGACGCTCTAGATGGTGGAGTTAATGACTGGCTTATAAGTGCTTTTGGTAGGTCAGTTTTTATATTGCTGATGATTTTGTAAAAGTGCTTCCGGCAAATTTACATAGTGAAAGTGCTTTCAATAGATTCCTATTGCAGTAAAATTCTTTCATCAGATTTCTGTTGCAAAAATACTTTCAACATATTATGGTTAACTTGTCAAAATATTTTGATTGATATCAATTGTAAATTTCTTTATACAGATTTACAGGACAAAAGTCCGATTGAGCTAACAGAGATGCCAAATAAAAAATTCAGTAAGAAGAGAATCTTCACTGTACCAAATGATCTGGCTCCGAAACTTGTGCAAGGACTTTCAAGCATAAAGGGAACGGTTACCACATCAATAGCAGTGTAAGACTTGTACAAAATGTATAATGATTAGTCTGATGCAAATCATGTGCAAGTCTTAGGAGGTAGCAGGCTAGATATGGGCACTTTATAAAGCAACATTGAAACAACACTTTATTTAATTTAATTTTTTATCTTTTCACTCTCTCTCCATCTTCAGAGTCCCTGGCAGTGATTATAGTGTTGTTAGCAATGAAAACAATTGATTTTAAAGTCTGAATCATTGAATCTCAAAACAAAAAAGAAAATTCCATGGATCTAGTTTTTAACATTTATAATTTAATATTTTGTATCACAGGATTTGTATTTTTTATCCAGCTTTGAAATTTACCAGAACGTTATGGAAGCTTGAAATGACATTTGTTCGCCGAGTTGAAATTTATCATCAATTCATAATTACCATTCGGGTTTCATTATTATGCAAATGAGAAGTTAACATTGTCACAAACCTGTTAAGATAATGTCATGATGTATTGATCCAGTGAATTGGAATCATGAGGAAACATACAGAGTCAAAAGGATATATCTGTCTTACTCACATATGACTGTAAGTATTTTAGCTTTGGTGTGATTATAACAGTGAACCAGACCTGGTCCAGATCAGCTTCCTTGGTAACCAGGAGAATGCCTCTGATGTGATGGCTGTCATAGGAGATCATCTGAAGGCCATCAAGTCAGTGGAATCATACGACCTTCAAAAGGTAAAATTCTCACAGAATGCATTTGATTGAAACATGATAAGTCTGAAGACTTTGATAAAAAAAGTTAACTGAAGAAAGTAATTAACATTTGTGACACAGATAATTTATTCTCTGTTGTTTATGGACATTACATATGTAGTAGTTTATTTTTTCCAATCTATAATGCATGTCTAGTCATTTTTCTGTACAATTTCTATTTTATGAATATCAGAATATTGCTTGACATAAAGACAAAATCAACATTTCTGTTATTATCGTTAAATTTCTATTGTTAATCTTGTTACCATGAAAAGAGAGGTTAATTAGGGGAAAATATGCTTGTTTTTATGCATATACTGGAGATTAGGTCATGAATTTAGTTTTAACACGAGATACAGTCACAATAATACCAGGTAACATAATTTTATCTAGCTGTCATACTGGAGATTAGGTCATGAATTTAGTTTCAACACGAGACGCAGTCACAATAATACCAGGTAACATAATTTTATCTAGTTGTCATATTACAACTTAAGTTGGTCCCTGTTTATCATTTTGAAGGACATTTTGAGATTAAAGACAAACACAACTCGTAGATTTTTGTGATAGCAGTAGTAGTAAAATTAATGATCAGACCAAGCAGTAGTAGTAAAATTAATGATCAGAGCCAGAATTTTCAGCCACCAAACGTTAGATGGTTCTGTTAACCAGCATGGCTATATGGCACTGAGTGTACAGAAGTTGTGTGAGATAACCACCTACAAATGTATGCATTTTCAGTGGCAGCAATTTGAATTTTTCACAATAGCAATGATTAGCTTTTAACTTACCTCTGAGTTACCAGGATCTGGTTACTAGTATTTGCTGTGCTGCTCTGTCCTTCTCTATTCTTTTATAAATCCAGACATCCCCTTACCAAGCACCTACAAGAACCCAGGATTGATTAAAGCATGAAGGAAATCGCAAAGGGAGATAACCAGGGTTTGAACCACAATTTCAGATGCTCTAACCAATGAAAATCTCTGTTTGTTGAAGTTGTCACTCAGCATACAGAGAGCTGGCAAAATTCCCAATCCCAATTTTCTATTTTAAGTATCAATGATGCCAAAACCCTTTGATTCAAACTGATCTTAGTATTATGACAGATACAGCACATGTAGTATAATGATACTACTTTATGCAAAGTAACCCTCAAGACTTACCAGACCTTTATAGCTACTGTTTTATGACAGGTTGTATGGCCTGGCTATGGTATGGGAAGGAAAGGTACCCTGAAGGAGCCACTGTCACTGGAGGATGCTGTATCTATTGTAAAAAAACACACCAACTTGAAACATGTACGACTGGCAATCTCTCCAGGTAAACTCTTAAGATATTCAGCTATCATATTCATGCTGTAGTTGATGATAAGCCCAGAGGGCAAACATGAATAAAAGGCCCATAGGCCTTAATTGTCATCTGAGGTCTTCAGGTCTTTGGACAGTTTTAGATCCTGTTCATCAGTCCCAGCATCAGGGTAGACAAAACAGGACTGATAAATATGTACATGCATTCTTACAAAGTTTTCTTGTTTCCAAATTTGAAGGCTTAGTTCAATTAAACAGAATTGATAACACTGTCTGTTGTTGAAGTTTAGCATATTTGACCCCTGTGACCCTATGAATGAAGGTAAAGGTCATTCATTTGAACAAACCTGATAGCCCTTCATCACATCATGCTACTGGCCCCATATCATGACCCTGGGTCATTTTGTTATTGAGAAGCAGTCGTTTAAAGATTTTCACACATTTGACACCTGTGAACTTGAATGAAGGTCAAGATCATTCGTTTGAACAAATGAGTTAACCCTTCATCCCAGCATGGAACTGGCTCAGTATCATGACCCTGGACCATTTGTTTATTGAAAAGAAGTCAAAAATGTAAATTGTTTACGACGCACTGCGCCAGACAAAAGAAAATCGCAATAGATCACTTGAGACTTTGTCTCAGTCTGCAGGACTAAGAATTTTAATAGATATGCAGTTACACATGGGTTGGCTACTTACCAGACATGGACTTATCAACAAATATGTCAACAGTCAATTGAATAAGTGTGATAAGGCACAGACAGATTCCTGTTACAGTCCACTTTTTCATTGACTAGCACTGTACCTCTAAGAACCACAGGTGTAAAAGGTAGTATCGAGATGTTAGTTTCCTTAGAAGAAAAGAAAATGATATGCTGATATTAAAAATGTTTTGTATATAATATTTACATATATTGTTTATAACCTTGTAGGAGAGTCTGTGGTTAAGAGTGTGGCTGTATGTGCTGGATCTGGAGGAAGTGTCTTAAGAAATGTCCCAGTGTCTCTTTATGTCACTGGGGAAATGTCCCATCACGAGGTACTCCATGCTGTACACAGTGGGACTAGTGTGATTCTTTGTGACCATAGTAACACAGAACGAGGATATCTCAATGTGCTCAAACAGGAACTTAACAGATTATTTAAGGAGAAAATTGACATTGTTATTTCTAGTAAAGATCAAGATCCTTTGGAAATAGTTTAACTGAATCCTAATTTTGAAATAAATGATTGTTCACACTAAATGGAGAATTGATTCATTGTACATGTCAATCTTTGACATCTACAACTTATACTTAACACACCACAGGAGGTGTGTCATCAAGATGCATAATGGTTGATGATGTCCTTGCCCTGGTTGTAGCTATTTCATGGAGATTCCATTTTAAACCAATCTCCTTTAAGCACTTAACACAAAACCATTTTTATATTTGCATCAGTGTATACAAGCATGTAGTTTTTTCTGAATTTTTTATTCAATATAAAACATTTCCCTGGTAATTAATTTTGCACAATTTTTAAAGATTGGAAATATAGCAAAATTAAATATTATCAACTACAAAGTTATTAATAAATGAACATGGGTGTATACAGGAGAGAAAGATTATAAATTTTGTGCATATTAGTGATCTTGATCTGTCTTCAAGGTCCCACGCCTTGGGAGAAAGTATATATCTGTTCCGGTAGAATGAGTTAAAGAACTGTTAAGTTTATTATCTAAATTAATAACCTAGATTTTCAAAGATTTAAGAATAAAAAAGATCAAAGGGCAATAACTCTTAAATTTTGCAAAAAAGAGTGATGGTTCTAGTGCACTGTACTTCTCCTTGTTGAGATCTATCTACCTACGATGATATCTCTTATAGTTTTTGTGTTACCCTCCGAACAAAATTTTGGCGGTTGAACGGACAAAGTGGTGTCTATATGCTCTCCCTTTCGGGAGCATGATAAGATACAAATTGCCACAATTGGCTTCAATTTAGAGAACAGTGAAATTCAGGAAATGTCATTTTTTTATCCTTTTGTCAGTTTTATCCTTGCCTGGTACATGTAGCCCGTATGTACCAAGTTTTACAACACTATAACTGGCATTAGAAACTAAATGCAAATTTGGTTTAAATTTGCCAAAACTAAAGCCAAATTTGTTTTGAATCATCAAAATAGTTTTGGAGAAGCTGATCAATAAACTCAAAGCTCTGCGATGTATAACATTTATCCTTCAATATACAAATGAACTTGATTAAACAAAATGGCAAACAACGGTATATACTGTCTTGTTGGTAATATTGGTGGGGGATTTGATTTTGCTATATTTGTCGTCATAAAAGATAGCTCAAAATTGAAAACCCAGCAAACGTTTAAAATATAACGAAATATATGTCATATGCCTGTATATGTGGATACCAATGTGCCAAAAATAATCTCAAAACTACCACAAAATGTTATCCCAGAAAAATTTAACAACTATATATGAATATAGATAGCTTCTCAAATAATACAACAAATGTTAAAAAGAAACCAATATTCTGCTTTTATTTGTCAATAAATGCAATCAATACAAGTCATGTACAACCATGTTCTACCATATATAACACAGCTTCAAACAACAACACTTCTACACATGTATGGTCCTCTGGCTGTAGCTGTGATTCCATATCACATTTTGAAATGATACGAGTCATTTTTGGGAAAAAATGTTTCATTTAGTGATTTTTTTAAAAAACAGATCTGTAAGTTGTCAAAAGAAACAAAATATTGTTAATTTTCCTGTAACTTATACATTCAAAGTGTAAATGAAATTAGTTCAAACATGAATCCTGTCTGAATATCTATAAATCTGAAGGCTCCATTCATCTCACTAATGCACAGCTCACAAGCTCAATACTCTATCCACATTATAATATCATGATATTCATGCAACTGTATGAAATATTTCTGACATGCAATATACACACAGACTGTAAAAATATCTATATATTACATAAAACAAAGCTGTGGATTTGGTAATGTATCACAAATTTGACAATTTTGAAAGGAATATAATGCCAATAATCACACTCGTTTCTTTACAGTGAAGAGAGAGGAAACCTGACAATTGAAACAAATTTATATTCAAAAGTATATATATATCCAATAACATTAGACCTGACAATGTATATATACATTGCACTTTATTTTTATTTTTCAAATATATTTGACCTGTACATATTAATTAAGATACAAGCTGTGCAGTGAACATAGAGACAACTGTGTAAAGACTAGCGTCCATGTCAAGTTCAATGCAATTCCAGCACGGAGTAATAAGTCCCCCACTTATGCTGCACTCTCCAAAACATCTCAATGAGCACATAATTCAATGACTTCACTTATAAATAAAATGACCTGCCAACAAAACTTGAATCAATATGAAATACATTTCTTTAATGAAATGTATCTAAGCTTAATTTGCATGAATTTAAAAAAAAATTTAATGAAACAGAAAACAAGACACCATGAACCTTTACAACTGGTTAAATTAAAAATACATCAAATTACACCAAGCTTTTCAGTTTAAATTTGTTTTTATACATAGTGAAAACCACTAGGAAATGTCTAGTGAATGCGTGGGTATGCACATTATACACTGATATTACATCATAATTTAATGAAGAAATACTGACTACAACGAGACGGTAATAATAACAGCACCAGGATAAAATCATATTTCATCAATTCTTATTCATGCACCATAAATCAAATATTCATGAGTAGGTCAAAATTTAAATGTTATGGGGAAAAAAATAGGGCTGGCAAGGTCTTTAACAGCGAGTCTCATTAAAATTTGATGTATCTTCACTGACTGTGTTTAGTAGTGTAGAACTTGAATAAGTAATAAGGCATAAATATGTAAAAAACAAAAACACATGCCATCACAACCAAGTTTATTTCAGTCTACATATGAAATATGGAGATTATCAGCATAAGTGTATCTTGTTTATCAGGCCTAAAATAAGCTGAGTCAGTAGGGAAAACTATTTTTGTACAATCGATTGAAGATCTGAGAAAATGGTTTCAAATCCTATCAAGTATTTTTTATTGCTTAGGAAACAAGAGTACACAGATCATCCTGGAATCCCTTTAGCCCAAGAGTTCTGGAGAGCATAAAATAAGCCTCCTGCATGATGTTCAAAGATAAGGTAACCACCAGAAAATAAATACACAAAATTTCTTAAATGTCATAATTGGAAAGTTGATCACTTCATTTATAGTATCTATTTAATTAAATATTTATATAAATTTCGGGAAAATTAAGACATAGTTCTGAAAAATATTGACATTCAAAAGGAAACCAAATTGTATATTTAGAACAAACTCTCTTACATATAATATATACAAATAAATTTTTGAGTGAAAACAAAAAAACGTTTTATACATCAATTTAGAGAAATGTAAACAAAATAATATTGACCTAAAAATTCGCTACTTAAAAATGCAACATCAATAAACATGACTTAAATGCAATAATAAAATGGAAAATAATAACATATTTTGTACATACAAGTGGACACTGATTTCTCTGGTTTACATTTCATATCAATAAATACTATTTATAGTATCAACTGTATGAATGGTTTCTTTGTCTGTGACTTGCTTCATCAAGAGCAGGTGATGAATCATGATAATACTTCTATTCTCTTGAATGAAAAGCAAAAAGATTTTACAGAACACCATCTAAAAGTAAAAAGTTATAAATCCTGGCTATACCCCCTGGTACTCTGTTACATCATTGATACTATATTTGAAAAGCATCTTCTCTGGTTTCAAATGATGAAAACAACTGTGCAAATCCATTATATAACCCAGTTACTGCAACATTTATAGGAACAAAACAACCTAATAATATGGGTTGTTAAAAACTTACTTAAGTGAAGATACTACCAGAGCTATTTAAAGTATGAATGACATGATACGTGATAGTCTTGTAAACTGTACAGCACAATTAAATAATGGACACTCATTACATTTTAAAGACACAAAACTGATTATGAACTGCCAGAATTCCTTTGTGACAAACATGATCTAGTACAGGAAACTTGACATTGTGACGATATTACTTACAAATCTGTGAGATCAGCATGCTTGATGTAAAAATTGGGTGTTGAACGTTAATGCATTACTGTACCAAAATGTATTTAACAACACAGTCATCTAAAAGAAGTGATATTGATGTACATCGTATGACAGACAAATTAAGCACCAAGCTTTTTTGGTTCGTATTCTTAAACTGTTCATGGTAAATAAAAACCATGAAGTGCATTGCACGATATTGTGTGAAATAAATTTAAAGGAAATTCATATCTTGTATTTACCTATATTCAAACAATTTCATTTATTACAGAGGGAAAAAAATCATTTAAACCAACAATTTACACACAGTTCAAATATGCACAATGATCAAGAACTAAGTGCCAGCTTCTAGGATGAGTCAATGATTTCAATAATGTAATAATATGACTAAATTCTTTGTACTATTTTCTAGTCCAATTAAACCTTATAATTATGTACAGTTAGATGTCTATGAAAATGAGCGGGAGTTGTTATATTACAAAAAAGAATTACTATTCTAATAAGACTCACCTAAACCAAAACTGTAAAGGTTATGTTATTTTATCAATGCATGCATGAGTCACAATATATCTTAATTATTTTTCGAAACAATCTGAAATGGACAGCCAACAAAACACAGGTGCTAGAACATTTACATTATTGTATATCAATCATACCCTGGTACACACAGCATTGAAATATTGATTCATACAGAATATAAAAATGAGGTATCTATCATGTCTACCAACCAGTGGTTAAAACACATAAGAATTGCAGTTAAATTTCATTCTAAATGCATACACTATCAAATGCCAGATTCAAGATATGCCTCAAGTGAAGCAAGCTTACCATAGTATAAATGCAGAAAAATATAAATTGAAATTCAAGAGATAGTTAAGATTTAAATATTCTCAAACTGATAAGGTTTTCATAAAAACTTCCAATTTTGATGTACAATAATTATCATGATAAATGAAGTTGTGTGTTTGGAAATCATTGTCTGACAGCAAATCTTTGCTCATTGTGCTGTACATTCAGGGATATTCAGCTTCTCTGATTCTGCTGTACATTCAGAGATATTCAGCTTCTCTCATTGTGCTGTACATTCAGAGATATTCAGCTTCTCTCATTGTGCTGTACATTCAGAGATATTCAGCTTCTCTGATCGTGCTGTACATTCAGAGATATTCAGCTTCTCTGATTGTGCTGTACATTCAGAGATATTCAGATAGTTATTAAAATGTAATGGTATATAAAATACAGATTGTCTAGAACAAGTCTATGTTGAGATGTTTGATCTTAAAGTGCTCGGCAAAATATTTTCAGCGAGAGAGTTCAGTAATGCAAAGTTAGGTGGGAGTATCGGGTGGCGAAGCTGTATCAGTTGATATTTTCCGCTTTGCAGGTGGTTCTTCTACACCTTCTGCAACACGTTTCTTAGGTGGTGTAGGCTGTGAAATTGATAATAAACAATGTAAAAAGTCAGATTAATGAAAGAGGAATAATAATTAAATATTCACATATAAAAACTGTGTTCTTAACAGATCTCAAGAGGATCTCCAGGTTTCGATCATTTCAGATTACACAAACAACAGAGAGATCATTTATTCGTAGACTATACTGTACATTAATTCTGTAACAATCAACTGTTTTACCTCTAATGCATTCTATTTGGGACTAAGCTGCATGAGGGAAAGGAAAGATCAAGTTCTAAGTACATTTTTTTCAATGCATCATTATTTGGTTTATTAATATTTGCAATAAAAAACATTAAACATGACCTTGATGAAATCGACCTTTGACATCAACACCTTCATTATACAATAAGTTAAAATAAAAAAACATTGATGAGATTTTATTCCACAGGTTGTAAAAGAATAATTCAAACAACAAGTATTGTGTATTAATTAAACAAAGTGCAAAAAAAGGTCAATTATAATCAAATCTATAACAAAACGATTCAATTGATATTAATTATGAACGAATAGATACCAGAGAAGGTGGTGCCATGCCCTCGTGCTCAGGATATAAAAGTTTATTGGCTTTCTTTTTCATCTCTTCATCCTGTGTTAACAATAAAATAAAACATCTGTATTGATATAAAAGATTTTTCACATTTTAAAATTTATCAAAATTCTTTTTCACACTGTGAGAAAATTGATTAAGCACTAACTTTTTTATATATGTTTAGTCATTTATTATTTCAATACCTTGAACCAGGGATGATTCAGGGCCTCAGCTAATGTAATCCGCTTCTTTGGGTCGACTGTCATCATCTTTTTTATCAAGTCCACAGCTACAAGATGGAACATCAGTGATGATTAAGATTCTATTGTGTTCAAACTTTGATATCGTATATGTGTTGTGGCTAGGACATCAGGGTGATGTGAACAGTGAAGCTAAGCCAGATCACTACATATTACAAGTTTAATTAACTTCAGCAGAATAATCAAGAAAGGGTACAAAGTACATAAAACAGATGATAATGTTTACAATGTGTTTCCTCCTGAAGTTATCACCCTGAATTAAAGAAAAATCATTTTCTTTTTACCATCATATATGTCACCAGGCCCATATGCATGTTAACGTATACCCTGTATTCATCTCTTACTATGACTACACAACATGTGTTTCTGTGAGTGTAATTTACCTTTTTTAGTTTGCTCCTGTTTTTGTTTCTTTAAGTCTTCAACTCAATTGTTCTCATTACATATAGCATGCACATGAATTAATAAAAGTTGAGTTAAAGTTCTTGTAAATTTCTATGAAAGTGTATGTTAATATTTTATGTGATAAATTTTTGTGTACCCTTCATCACATGGAAGATTTAGTCAGAAACAACAAGGATGCAAAACATTCAATAAGGATAAGATGAATTTCTGTTGATACTCTTACCAAGTACTTTTGACATTTAGTGACTGTTCACATTTAGATGCATCTCCAAAACCAACATCTGGTTGGAGTTTTTTCTCCTTATTAAGCCTACAAATATCATACCAAATATATCTTAATAAACGCCCATGTAAGGTGTTCAATTCTTCAAAGATAAGGAGATTTAAAACATTTCTAAGTTGATAGGTCTTAAGACACATGAATGGTAACAGTATATTAAACAGTTTGTAGCCAGGCCTGCTGCATATTTATGGAATGAAATTTTGAAACAAATCAACAAGCATTTCAACACTGATGTCTATCAACCAACCTACCATTTTCTGAAATGCCTGCCCAGTATTGTTTAGGGAAGGAGTAGTGAGCTCCTGTGATCTGTTTAGGTAAATCCATGTCCTTCCTCTCATCAGAAAAAGGAGGATACCCTGCCAGACTGAGAAAACGTCTAGGTCAATACACAACACCGATTTTAATAAGGTAACATAATAGTTTTGAAATCCACTTATCTTTGAAATTTATAAATGTTTTTTTAATCAGTATACAGGTATACAGTACTAAATATAATTAAAATCAAAGCAATGTAGGAGTTTGTGTACTTATCAAATGCAATATATTTTGCACAAAGTAAATCATATTTGAAATTATTTTTTTTAAAAAAACATTAAATTGAGTATTGCTTTACTTTTTATGAAATATTTCCCTTTAGAATGGCCTCTTACACAATGAAACAAAATCCTACCAAATAAAGAGTATAACCCCAAGACTCCAACAGTCTATACTGTTTGTGTAGGATCCAGAGCCAGCAGTGAGTAGAATCTCTGGCGCAAGATATGTTGGAGTTCCACAAAAGGTCTTCATGATTGATCCAGCATCCACGAATTTTGATAACCCAAAATCTGTGACCTGTGGTTAAGTTAAACTACATTTAGTGACCTTACATGGAAAATTAAACACATATCTACATTATATACATTTAAAACTAAAACATTCCATTTGGTTTTAAAATGCTAGAAACAGTTCCCAGACCTCCAGAACCTAAATACAATGCAATTAAACAGATTGATGACTGACTTAAAATACAAATGTCTAATTCCCTTCAGTAGTGACAAGGAATAAATTACTTACATACAATCCAAAGTCATTAGTGCTTAAATGATAATACATGTACTACCTACTTGTAGTTTCTTGGTATGTTAATAGTCTGTTGGAAAAAACCTAGAAGTGTTCACAAAATTTTAATGAATAATCGGATATCTAATTCTCCCATGGGAAGCTCTTATTTTATTACCTTTGATTGGAATTCCAATCATTCACTGATTTACAGAGGAATGGCTATTTAAATGTTTAAGGCAGATTAAAATGTTATTTCAAAATATGAGAAATATAAGATTAACTGGTTACAAGATTTTCTGAGTAACCATTTAGTTAAGTTTTATTAGTGTGACAACATAAGCAACATACATTCAATCTTTCTAAATCATTATATAGTTGATTCCCAACCAACATTGCTACATGTCCACTACATATTTGTTACAGGTATCAACTCACCTTAATTAAGGTTTCATTGCTTTCTGTGGCAAGAAGTATGTTTTCTGGCTGAAAAAGGAATAATTCAAAGTGATAATATACAGAATTGAATTACACAGAGTACCACTTAGAAGTGTATATACGGTTACTACCGTGTGCAAAGTAAAGCATTGATTACACCTATAATGTGTTGCTTGATATTACACACTTAAAACCCTAGGAATTTCATTTACTTACTTATTTTATCTGTCAAGAATAATGAGACAGACATAACATCAAGATGGTGAGATTGAAAAGTAGCTAGATAATGTCAAAAAAAAAAAATAAACCTGACAAAAGAATTTTGAATTTTGTTTACCATTGCACTAAAATGCTGACAAGCTATAAATATATTATTAGATGTTTACATCTTTTTACTTATCAACAAAAATATTTGTGTCTTACCTTTAAATCTCTGTGAGTAATTCCTTGATCATGAAGGTACTGAAAATGTTTTAAATATGACATACGTTATTAGTTCATATTGATTATTAAGTTAAAGAGATCATTATATACAGCCTTTTATGGGGACTGTGGGGCTGAACATGAACCCCATTCTCAATTACATTTATACCATAAGGTAAAAGTTACCAATTATATAGTTAGGTACAACTTAAATGTCTTTCCCAACTTATCAATTTTCTTCCTAAAATGAGAGTAAAAGGCCCTGTCTCAAGAAGAAAAGTTCCTTGCCAAAGTTGTAATGCATTCATATATTTTTTGGGGAGCTTATTAATGACTTGCTATAAATAGTAATAGTGTACATGTAATTCATTGATGTATAAAATAAATATACACAATGTAAATATTTCATTATTTACAGGAAAATCGCAATGATGCCATAATTTGTGTATTAATACTCCAGTCTACATTTAAAACTATCACCAGTTTTTTTTTATAAAAGAATATTTGATGCTTTAATCTTATTATTGAATACCATTATCTATTCTTTAATTTTAAGAATATTTCACTACTATTCTAGAATACATGATACAACAGGATAATTTAATTTTTATATTATGTGGACTAATGTTTTTTGAAAAATTATACTTTAAATAATAGACAAAAGGCCTTGACAGTCACCTGAGATAAGCAATACTGAATATAAAAGTTAAAGGAAATTGTGACACTGAATATAGACAGTGTCAATACATGTATTCCATCAAAACTGTCATCCTATACTGATAATTCTTATAAAGTTATTTCCACTGTGATATAACCAATGCTATGCTCAAAAATACAATTTTCCTATGAAATTACCAGTAAAGTCTCAAACAAATATTCCTCCTCAGGAAGCTATGCGAGACTCATTTTGGTAATTATAGCACCTTAAGATGCTTCCATTCATGAACAGTATTTGATTCTACCATACCTGGGTTTTGAGAAGAATACTTTTGAAATTTATGTCAATTTGACCCCTTTTGGCCCCACCCCTCAGGCCCCTGGAGGTTGGGGACTGAATAATTCACAAATTTGGTTCATCTTATGCCAGGGAAGGTTTCTGCAAGATTTCATTGAAATTGGATATGGGGTTTTTGAGGAGAAGTCAAAAGTGTTAAATTGTTTACAGACGCATGGTGCACAACGCATGGTGCACAACATTTTGGAAAATGCACGATGTACACAGATTTGTTATTTAGGGACTTATATTTGCTGTTAACAGGTGTCTTTATCCATTGAAGAAAGGTTGTATTTGAACTGACTTCAAAATTCTACCTTTAATCAAAGTGAAATGAAATCTATCTGAATAATTGCATAAATTATTAAATATCTATTGGCTCAAATATGCACATGCCTTCCATCTATTGTTATTCAACAGACAACTTCCATGCAGACTACTGTTTATTCTTAAGAAACTTACCTTACAAGCTAACACCATTTGGTAGAAGAGAAGTTTAGCAGTTGGTTCATCATACTGTCCGATACTGACTACTTTGTCAAACAATTCCCCTCCATCTACACTATAAACAAAACAACCAAACACACATGTTCAATTTTATCATACAGGATCAATGACTCACTTCTTTACAAATCCATACATTCATTATAAAAGACAATATACAACAATATAAGAAGCTACTGGTAACAACAGAAGTCCTCTAAACAATAAATATTTGTACAGTATGAATACCCCTACAACCATTCCTAACAATATTGTAACCCTCATATTTATACTATATATTGTAACCTTGGTATTAATATTATATATTCTAACCCTGGTATTGATATTATATATTTCAACCCTGGTATTAATACTAAATATCTTAACCCTGGTATTAATACTATATATTTCAACCCAGGTACTATATATTTCAACCCAGGTATTAATACTGTATATTTCAACCCAGGTATTAATACTACATATTTCAACCCAGGTATTAATATTGTATATTTCAACCCTGGTATTAATACTATATATTACAACCCTTGTAGTAATATTATATATTTGAACCCTGGTATTAATACTGTATATTTGAACCCTGGTATTAATACTATATATTTTAACCCTGGTATTAATATTATATATTTCAACCCTGGTATTAATATTATATATTTTAACCCTGGTATTAATATTATATATTTCAACCCAGGTATTAATACTATATATTTGAACCCTGGTATTAATACTATACATTTTAACCCTGGTATTAATACTTTATATTTCAACCCTAGTATTAATACTATACATTTTAACCCTGGTATTAATACTATACATTTTAACCCTGGTATTAATACTATATATTTTAACCCTGATATTAATATTATATATTTCAACCCTAGTATTAATACTATACATTTTAAACCTGGTATTAATACTATATATTTTAACCCTGGTATTAATATTATATATTTCAACCCTGGTATTAATACTGTATATTGTAACCCTGGTATTAATACTATATATTTCAACCCAGGTACTATATATTTCAACCCTGGTATTAATACTATAGATGCAATATACCACTCAGCTAGAGATATCTTCTCTTTACCTAAATAGATAGATCAGAAGACTATTAAGCCAGAGAATCTTGGATGAAATCCTGGTGGAGATATTGATATAACTAATGACCTCTGTTACAATGACGTCCACAAGGGGTATGGAATTAATACTTAGCCATGCCCCATAAGCACTACTAAGTATGTATGCATAATATATATTTTTTTTAATTTCTATAAATAGTAATTGTGATCTTGACTTAGGAACCCTGAATCATAAACTTATATTAGGTATTATCATACAACAAAGTATAACTTTGTATAGAGCTTGTGGTATTAGCATACAACAACGTATAACTTTGTATAAAGCTTGAGGTATTATCATACAACAAAGTATAACTTTGTATAAAGCTTGAGGTATTATCATACAACAAAGTATAACTTTGTATAAAGCTTGAGGTATTATCATACAACAAAGTATAACTTTGTATAAAGCTTGAGGTATTATATAACTTTGTATAAAGCTTGAGGTATTATCATACAACAAAGTACAACAAAGTAGGTATTATCATACAACAAAGTATAACTTTGTATAAAGCTTGAGGTATTATCATACAACAAAGTATAACTTTGTATAAAGCTTGAGGTATTATCATACAACAAAGTATAACTTTGTATAAAGCTTGAGGTATTATCATACAACAAAGTATAACTTTGTATAAAGCTTGAGGTATTATCATACAACAAAGTATAACTTTGTATAAAAGTATTATCATACAACAAAGTATAACTTTGTATTATCATACAACAAAGTATAACTTTGTATAAAGCTTGAGGTATTATCATACAACAAAGTATAACTTTGTATAAAGCTTGAGGTATTATCATACAACAAAGTATAACTTTGTATAAAGCTTGAGGTATTATCATACAACAAAGTATAACTTTGTATAAAACTTGAGGTATTATCTTTGTACAACAAAGTATAACTTTGTATAAAGCTTGAGGTATTATCATACAACAAAGTATAACTTTGTATAAAGCTTGAGGTATTATCATACAACAAAGTATAACTTTGTATAAAGCTTGAGGTATTATCATACAACAACGTGTAACTTTGTATCAAGCTTTGTATAAAGCTTGAGGTATTATCATACAACAAAGTATAACTTTGTATAAAGCTTGAGGTATTATCATACAACAAAGTATAACTTTGTATAAAGCTTGAGGTATTATCATACAACAAAGTATAACTTTGTATAAAGCTTGAGGTATTATCATAAGTATAAACAAAGTATAACTTTGTATAAAGCTTGAGGTATTATCATACAACAAAGTATAACTTTGTATAAAGCTTGAGGTATTATATAACATACAACAAAGTATAACTTTGTATAAAGCTTGAGGTATTATCATACAACAAAGTACAACTTTGTATAAAGCTTGAGGTATTATCATACAACAAAGTATAACTTTGTATAAAGCTTGAGGTATTATCATACAACAAAGTACAACTTTGTATGAAATTTGAGGTATTATCATAACACAGAGTATAACTTTGTATAAAGCTTGAGGTATTATCATACAACAAAGTATAACTTTGTATAAAGCTTGAGGTATTATCATACAACAAAGTATAACTTTGTATAAAGCTTGAGGTATTATCATACAACAAAGTATAACTTTGTATAAAGCTTGAGGTATTATCATACAACAAAGTATAACTTTGTATAAAGCTTGAGGTATTATCATACAACAAAGTACAACTTTGTATAAAGCTTGAGGTATTATCATACAACAAAGTATAACTTTGTATAAAGCTTGAGGTATTATCATACAACAAAGTACAACTTTGTATAGAGCTTGTGGTATTAGCATACAACAACGTGTAACTTTGTATAAAGCTTGAGTATCATACAACAAAGTACAACTTTGTATAAAGCTTGAGGTATTATCATACAACAAAGTACAACTTTGTATAAAGCTTGAGGTATTATCATACAACAAAGTATAACTTTGTATAAAGCTTGAGGTATTATCATACAACAAAGTATAACTTTGTATAAAGCTTGAGGTATTATCATAACACAGAGTATAACTTTGTATAAAGCTTGAGGTATTATCATACAACAAAGTATAACTTTGTATAAAGCTTGAGGTATTATCATACAACAACAAAGTACAACTTTGTATAAAGCTTGAGGTATTATCATACAACAAAGTATAACTTTGTATAAAGCTTGAGGTATTATCATACAACAAAGTATAACTTTGTATAAAGCTTGAGGTATTATCATACAACAAAGTATAACTTTGTATAAAGCTTGAGGTATTATCATACAACAAAGTATAACTTTGTATAAAGCTTGAGGTATTATCATACAACAAAGTACAACTTTGTATGAAATCTGAGGTACTTATCATAACATAACTGGATAGACATATGTGTAACACAAATACAGTTACCCCCTACTCCATCATTCTGCCATTAAATGAAGTGGGGTCACCAAAGTTGTCAATTTTAAAAATATTACGGGTAACAGTTACACCCTCTGTGAAATGTCCCTCATGTATGATATCTGAGAAATGTTTTAAATTTCATAAAGCTAGCTGACACACAATATGAGTTGACTAAAATTACTTACCAGGATGTTGCATACTGTTCATATTTATAGATAAATAGGGATGCTATTGAAACTTCTTACAAACACATTATACTGTGGACAACATCAAACAACTTTTTAGTTTACTGGTTTTATTTCTCTGTGAACAGCCAGGTTTATTTTATGACCATTTATGTAGCTGATACCTCACAGAACAACAGACGGGAGGCCTGTTGCATGCCATTTAGAGCAACAACAGTAAAGTCCGAGGACAAAACCACAACAGCAAAAATTGGTCCGTTTCTCAGCTTCCTTTGAAATGGAAACCACCATGGAAAGAGAGTAAGCCACTAACTAACAGGTATAACCTGAGAATATAACTTACACTTCCAGGACAATAAAAAGAGTATCAGGTGTATCAATCACATCTTCTATTCTTATAATACCAGGCTGCAATGAGAAATCATTTTCATTATTTATTCATATACAAACCATATTCATATATTAAAGCAAGTGTTATGTTTCATTTTAAATTGATTTTCACATTTTATAAGATCACATCTACATCAGATTACAAAATGTTGAAATGATAAGACTTGTACATCTAAAGTAACAATTATGATAAAGACTATACAGAAGCCTAGGCCTGAAATTCAGATTTCAAAGTAAACACAGGATCATGAAAATGTACAGGACATGAAATCATATACCTAGTGACACTTTTCCACACTCCTGATAAAATACAGTTCCATGCTTCAGCACTGTCAACTTCAGCACATCTGCATTTCAACCAGTGTGTAGCTGTTATTTATTCTTTATGAAAACCTTAAGTCATTCAGTCTATACTAAAATCTCAGAATATTTCATTATATGAATCTTATAAAAGGAATGGAGCATTAGGTAATGCCTAAAAATCTCCTCTCCTCGCCCTGTCTATACTTACATGTTTTAATGCTTTCAAAATATTTACTTCAGTCATAACCTGTTTACTTAAATTCTGAAAAAGAAAACAAGAAATGTTACACATTTTGAAATTTTGAGAGCTCAAAGTAATTCAGCTACAAATAATTTGAAAATCAGAATCCTTTATCACTGAAAGCAAGAAAAGTCAACTGCTTATGCTGTAATTTTGTACAACTTACAACTTGTGATCTGCCCCCGATGGAGAATTTCTTTTTTGATATTATCTTCACAGCGAATCGCTCACACGATCCCTTGGCAAAGGCTAACTTAACTTCCCCACAGGCTCCTCTGCAGATAAACAAATATATTGACATTTTAACATTCTTAATAGGACAGTTGACTGTCAAAACTTGTAATTGTAAGATTGCAATAAAATTTTAATAAAATTTAATAAAAAGGAAGAAATTTGACTGGTAAATTTGTTTCATATCAATGTATATATTAGAAAACCTTCAAGATACAGTCTTCTTTTATTTGTACTCTTCCAACACTCCAAAGCTAAGTAGACCATCTTGTTCAATATAACAGAGTTAGGGTAATATACTCACCGGCCCAGAGTTTTAGTTAGTGTATATTTGTCTCGAATTTCCTGGGGTAGACTGGTATCTTCATTGGCGTTATGGTCAAGAAACATGTACGCTGGAATAGCAATACAGTTGAAAATGACAGTAAAGCTAAAAACATTGTTTTAGAAATACAGAATATATTGTTTAAACACTACATACTTGGACAGATATTGAAATATCATTCAATTTAACACAGGTACCAATACATGGACATATGAAATAACAACCATGTATTTTGTACAAGAAAGGCAATCATTGTGCAGCTGAAAATATAAAAACTAACAAAAACAGACTGCAGGTGAATCGTATCTCTCTTTTCTTGTAAAATGAAAGCATCTTGTGTCCTTCCACAACAGATCAAACACACAACCCTAACCTTGACTTACCAGTCTGACCATTCAAGGTAAAGGAAGATTCCTTCTAGCATGCAACTAGCAAATGACCACATTGCTCCTGCTGCATTTATATAGCTACACCATATTGTTAGCTTTGTACTAAATAACCATGTTTACATGCAATAGCATATCAATAGATTCATTGTTGGTCCCTCTATTTGTGTGAACTACAAGCAGAGTTGATCTCCTTTCTACTTTACAGATCCTGAGTGTATGGTATGACATGTTGTATAGAAGGTTTCCTAGACTAAACACTGGATACACCGTACAGTATACACATACAATTATTTTGCCTTCCTGTCCATTAGATCTTATTGTATGTACCTTTATTTTTCTTCACTGCTAAAGACACCTCATCATTGTTTGCTAACACCTGTTTGTTCCCTTTACCTGTTCACAAGAAGAAACATACATTTCAATATCTACTTCAACATTTACTGCCAAAAATTGATATATCATTCTTAATGAAAAAATACAGTACTGCAATATTTTTCTCAATCATTTTCAGAATACTAGGTAAATAATTTTTTCAATCATTTGAAAATCCAACAAATTATTTGTGTAGCTTCATATAGTCATAAAGAAAATTTTGTACATGTACAAAAATGTTGGAAATTTTCGAATATTGGTTTTAATATGTACTTTGAATAGAAGTAATTAATGTAAATCAACAAATTTTTTTTAAAGACTATTTGAACAACCGGTCTGTGTAAAAGTTCACACACAGTTGCATGAAACATGAATGTTCATGAATAGATAGTGTATACAGTATAATTGATTCTATGACCCATGGTAGAATTTACTAATTAACTATACAAATACAATTTAAAACATTAAACAGGTGTTCTATTTCAACATACAAATGTTTGTATGTACAGACCTTTTACAGTACCATAAAGGCATATAGCATTCCATGATTATTACAAATAATACCAAATCTGTAGATCATTTGCACAAAGTCCAGATCTCAGCATTAAGCACATTTTAAAGAAAGAGAAATCTGAGAACCATTTGATAAAATATACATACCAACTTTTTCTCCATTTATGAATGTTCCATTTCCACTTGTATCCTCGAGAAAAATGTGAACTCCTGTACTGGTCTTTTGCTGTGAGAAGGGAAGACAACATTGCAATAAGATTAATTGCTTTTGACAGACCCATCAATATTTTATGTTAAAACCTTGCTTAAAATATAGTATGTTTGTATAATGCAGATATGTTTCATGAACTGCATAAAAAAAGGACATGGGCCACCTCAGCAGGGCATAGAGAAGATCCTTGTAAGTATGTTTTTAAATCCCAAGGACATTTGACAGTCTAGATTTTGATTGGATATTTCACATATACTACACGTTTTTAATCCAGGTCCTGTATTGCACACATGCATTAGTTTTAACCAACTTAAAGTAAAAATTGTTTTGCAGTTTGAATATTCTGTAAACATCAACTTATCAGCTCACCCTGAGCAATTTAAAATGCACTTTGCTGTAAGCTTGGAAATACTGGTGTTTCTTTGCAGGTGCACTGAATGGAATATCACAATTATCTCCTCTTCCAAATGTGTATTCATCTTTCTTCAGCTCTGTGAGAAAAGAAAGAAAAATGAACAAATCACTCATAAAGAAAAAGCATATCCTAGAAAATGTGACAAGGTAAACAAAGGACCATAACTGTGGTATATATAGAGAATACATGGACAGTGTCTTATAATATAAGTTGTATTTTGGCAAGGGTGAACAAGACAATATAGACAAGCCACTTTTGTCTTCCTGTCCTGAGCTAACTTGAATACGGCTTATATTATAAGATGCTGACCTTGTATTCTATTTATCCTGCAACACTGATTGAAAAGCGATCAAAAACTTCGGTTGTTTTGTTGTTCAATATTTGTTTACCTATCATTGACACTTCACTGAATTTTGCCGCATGAAGTACGCCAAAATGATTGCTCCGTGTAGAAATGTAGCTTTTAATTTCAGCAGATATGACAGACATTTAATGTATTTTTACGCAAATAAACTTATTCTTTACAACATATAAACTCACTCATTTCAACAGTTATTTATATCATTAAACATGATTTTAAAGTAAATTCAGGAAGTAGGTCTGTTGAATTACCACACATGCTAAAATACAACTGTTTTCTATCACTGCCAAATACAGCAAAAAGTATGTGGCAGGTTTATTCCAACAATGGCAGTGACAGTGGAAGGATAAACATGTATATAACAACCTGGTAGATATATTTATAGGATTATAGGCTGATCACACGAGTAGGTGGATCCTTATAACCCTTCCTAAGCAAGACACTGTGTCTAGAAATGTGGTACTGGTACAAGACATCATTCATTCTATTGTAGCGAAACTGAACGGGGTCGATCGTCGGTGACCAGTTAGCTTTGTAGGTAGAGCATCCGTCTAGAGTTTGGAAGGTCCCGGGTACAAACCCTGATCTGGCTACACATTTTCCCACTCCTGTTACATGTGGTGCCATGACCAAACCTTGTTTCAAGCAGAAGATAAATGCTTAACAAGGGGAAACCCGGACCTGGGCTGTTGGATGTGATATCTCTGTGGGCAAAAACTATAAAAAGGGAGGGAGGAATGTAGCAGAACTGGAGAGGGTCGATTGTCGGCAAACAATAAGCTCAGTAGGTAGAGCGTATGTCTAGAGTTCAGAAGGTCCCAGGTTCGTACCCCAGTTTGGCCACCCATTTTTACACTCCTGTTATACTATAACTACCATCCACATAAGGAAGAGAGTAGAATGAGTAGAAGGCTTGTTAGAGTATGTGAAGTGCTGGTACAAAATTGTACATGTATATGATATGTCAAAGTAATGATAATACACAATTGTGAGGATTAAAAGATAAATCATCTGTAAAGATGTATCAAATTCTGAATTTGTCATTTTCAGTATTTGTTTTAAAGCTTATCATAGCATGCAACTCACTGTGTTATGTCTCTAAGGTACATGCAAAAGAGCATGCTTCTTTAACTCAGTTTAAAGTCTGTCTAAAGCACTCAGTGTATAGTCTGTCACTTCAGACTAAAGCACTGATGGCATTTTAATCTATATTTAATTTGCAATAATTCTTTTAAGGAATTTCAAACATGTCTGCATGAAGATTATTAAACAAAATTTCCTCTATATTTCATGGTTCCAACTTTCTACACACACAAACACATATTTGTCTATTTACAAATTAATTACAAGTTGTTGTCAAATAAAAAAACAATACATGTACAAGGGACATAACTCGAACTTGTAATTGTTAGACCACAGTGCGCGAATCCCAAATAATCAATACTTGATTTCGAGAAGTCTTTTTTCTAGGAGTGGGACCCAATGGTCTGTATATTGCACAGCGAGATAAGTTTGAGGTTATTGCTGTTGATCGCATACTAGCGATGTCACAGTTCAACAACACGTAATACAAAAAAACGACAAGTCCAACCACATCATGCGGCGTCAGCGTCCTACCGATCACTGTGAAGCTCTGACCGAGAGGGAACAATTTCCCCCAGCAATCATCGTCTTGAGAGTCGTCTTCCTCGCTAAAATCTCCGTCAATGAAGTCTGCTGGCACTGTCTCCATGCTTGCAGTCGATGAGCTTTCTTGCGATTGTGCAGCTACCCGTGGTATGGTAGCACTTGTTGTGTCAACAAGCTTTTCCGTACTATTTTTGTCATCCAACCACGAGTTACCTCTCTTCATTACCGGCATAAAATGCGCATGCGCAGATTTGACAGTGAACGTATGGGTAGACCTAATGGTAGGAGTTTATACGTCATGATCATTTTTAATGAATATAATGTATGCATAAATTTTACATACATATTCCAGGGACGTAATGTTATCATACACCTTGCAACAACTGTGTTTGTATTATTTTTCTCCTAGAGTAAATAGCCGAAATAACATTTCCGAGAAGTTTGTAATAGATGGGATAAGAGATCACCTGGATGTACAAAAAGAAATTGGATTAAACTAGCCAGACTTGCTGTGCTAGTATGCCATTTTCCTCTGAAATTACATAACTTATCTTTTCATACGAAAACAGTGGTAGAAATTAGAATAATTTGATAAAATAAAAACTGCCTGAAAACGAGCGCAAGTTGATCAACAAGATCACTTTTTGAACTGCCGAATTCATGACTTTACTGAAGCGTGTGTGTGTGTGTGTGTTTTTTTTTTCTCCGATTTACACAGTTGCAAGATTTTAACAAAGATACTTGCCGACACACCCACATGTACCAATGCGTTACGTCATCATTGTCTTCTTCTTCTATACACAGTTGCATCACCACCTTCATCATCATCGTCAGCTTGGTCGGACGACACAATGTAACGCACTCGTCTTTAACTTAGCTGTCCCTGAACGGATAAATGTTTTCTCTGGTTTTCTCACACAGTAATACCCCTCGCGTGCTTACATCAAGTGTGATTAAATTAGTATACAATAAAATAAATAAAATTTCTATATGTAAATAAAATAATTCATCGAAATACAGCCAATTTCGAACTGAATTTTGCTATTGGGGTATCACCTTTGCTTAATTTCGGATCGCCATGAAAGAAATGTAAAGGTAAATTTCATTATTCTGTATTAGTAGTTTGATAAAACCACTCATCCATGACTGGCCCTATATAACGTGTGCTCACGTCCCCTCGACTCGATAAACGCTAAAGGGACGTAACCTATTCAGTCCCGTAGATATAGCTGCATATGAATACCAAATATCTGCCTATTTTCTTCATAGGAAAATCTGTCGCCAATTTTTAGATCGGAGTGTTCAAGAAAATCTTAATTAAGGAACTACCTATCTTATCAAACAGTGAGTAATTGCATGGCTGGTTAGGTTGCATGATTCTTAGGAAAACAAAACAATAAAAACAAATTAGCCAAAATTGAACATAAGACTGGATGACACGTGACATACATTATAAAATGGTTCGTGTTTCTATGTTAGCGAAGGAGTAAGCTACTTTCGTGAAAAGTGATAAATGAATATGCTTTTCTTGATGAAAATAAGAAATTACATTGTCAGGTCATTTTAATTACTTGTATACAGAACCGGAATATCGTGTAATGACAAATTCTCATTGTTGTCTTACTGCGATTACCTCCTGCGTCGTGCGTCCGTAAACTAGGTAACATTTCCCATAAAAACCCTGTACCGATTTCAACGAAATTTTGTTGAAATCTTCCCTGGCTTGCGATGAACCAAAGCAGTGAATTATACGGTCCTCACTCCACTGGGGCATGAGAGACGGAGCCAAAAGGTGTCCAATAGACACGGTTTTCAAAAATCTTTTCAACACCCAAATTTTTTTTTTTTTTTTTTATACATAGAAAATTGTATTTTTGAGCATAATGTTGTGTATTTCCCACCGGAAATAACTGTAAGCATTATTTGTATAGATGACAGTTTTGATGTTATGCAGGATTTGACACTGGGTTATTATCCTCAATGTCACAATTCCTTTTTCATGTCACTTGAAAGCTACATACCCTTTAACCTTTATAATCAAATTGCTTATCTCAGGTGACCGTCAAGGCAGCTAGGTCTCTTTTTTTTTTTTGTGAAAACAGTTAAAAGTTGGTTCTTCAAAAAAAAAAAGCAACAATATTTAAATAAGTTTGATAAGGATGATTTATTATTTTCGATGTCAAAACAATAAGTTACAAGGTAAAATATCCATTACAATTACATTCAGTCTGTAATAGATTAACACATCGTCCCTGCCTCATTCCGTGTTCTTAGCCATGAAGGATATTGATATACCAAGTCCTGCCGTTAAACCGTATGTGTCCATTCTTTATTAACAAGCTTACATCCAAATTATGACTGATTTTCTTTTTTCCGCTTTCCGACAAGTTTGCGTAGAATCTTTCGTGGTCTGAATTTCCTTGGCTTCACATTCTGTTCAGTAGAAGCATGAGAGTTCCTGTCTAGTTCGAGGCTGTCCTGGAAAGAAGTTGTACCGTCTTTTCCGGATCTCTTCATCAGATAACTGCTTGGTTGATGAGATGAACCATTAACTGGGGTATATACATCCAAGTTGTCCACTACGGTGGTCAGAAAGTTCAGCTTACATTGTTCGTATCCCCTCCTGGCTCGAAAGAGTTCTTCAGGGCATCTCTGTGAACGCAGTCCGTCAAAGTCGCCAAGCACGAGCAGAGGCGCTACCTTGCAGCTTGAAATTTTCTGTAGTACGTTGATTGCCATGTTCTAGATTTGGAGACGAATAAAAGTGTGCACTCAATCTGTGCTGCTTGTATCCAAGATAAAACATTTGTGACGTCACAGTGATTGTGACGTGACATAAATCCCTGGTGGAAAGGACCATGATCACGTGATGAAATCATGCTAATAACCGAAAGCTTGTCATGTTACTTTACAAACCAATTACAAATATGCGTTAATTTCTACAAAACATAATTATATTAGCTTCTTAAAAATACAGATATCAAAACACCCCGTGAATAAAGTATAAAGGATATCAAATTGGAATTTTGAACCCTGATATTTTATATGTAACTCTCAAAATATATATAGTATAAAATGTAACATACAACGTATAACATTATAAACAACCCATTAACAAAATAGAGTTCGTGATTTGCAGTTAGTCTATTTTTAATGATACTACGTCACGAGTCATTTCTTCTTTTATTTATTCTGTATGAAAAAGAATATGTTAAGCAATTTCAAAATTTCATTTGGAAAAAGGAAGCCAGCCCGAAGAACATATTTCTTTTCTCATCAAGATCAATTTTTACACATCGCATCAGAATGAAAGTTTAATATATACCTTTTCCAGGAGCGAGTATGACCAGACACATGTATACATTATATATGGAACCATCTGCCATTCCGAATGACTTTCGTAAGGTGGGAAATTCGAGAGATTTTACGAGAGAGCTCCATATGTGGAATGTATTCAATCGTATGTGTTCTGTATATATTAGAAAGTTGGATAAGGTAGCACCGCAGTAAACGTAAGTTTCCGTCCATGTACATACACATATTACTATCTGTTGTATGCGATAAATATGAGTCACTGATTAACGAATCATCAAAAGACAGGTTATACAATATCATTCTGCAGTGTCTGTTGCATTATTGTGTTCATTAGTGTTCTAGCCATTTTTTCTGTATTCATTTACACTGCAATATGTTTAACTTTTTAGTGTTTATAAGTAGTGCTGTAAATTTAATTTGTCCTTTGTCATGTTTAATGTACATTTATATCTCATCATGTTTCTCTATTCTTTTTGTCCTCGTTTTACAATAACTACTATGTACTGGTAAATATAAGATTCCATTTCATTTGTTTATTTAAAAAAATAATTCGATAATCCAGAAGACATGTTTGTCACACATATGTATGTTTAAAGAGTAAACATATTTCTTTTTTGATACCATAACGCTTATGTGTTATATCAATTTTCCAACAGTTTTGCAATTAAGTAACTTCTGTAAATTTGATTGATTTCATTTTCTTGAAGTTTTTCTTAATTTATTTAATTGTTAAGCTGTATATATTAACTTTATCGATATGTTTCAAAATACCCTTACTCCTTCTTGCAACGAAACTAGGTTAATTATTCAGAACTGTCGGCATTTTCGTACTTTTCTTATACGGAAGGTGCCGATGTTTCCCGATTGGAATTCAGTGTGTCAATTATAGAAAGAATATTGGTCGTAATGCGTGATCTTATGATCGAACGCAGGATACATTAGCTGCTGTGAACAACCATCTACATTAATCAGATACATAAGAAGTGTTCATAGTCCGTTAAATCAAAAGCGAAAGTACCAGGTTTTCCAAGAATTAGGCTTCTTGTTATCCCGTATCATTGGTATCGCAAGTTCGTAGATTATCGACAACAGTTACCTGATATAATATAAAATTATAACATTTTATTTCATCCACGATTTAGCTAACCTGGCTTGAAGGGGCCGTAAAGAAATATGCGGATGTTGTAGTCATAGGGACTTGGCAAGGATTGTAACTCCCGTGAAGGAAAAACAGAACACAGTTTATATGTTGTTATATCTCATACAGGATATTTAAGAGTGATTGTCATAATGTCATTTGAAACCGGAAACTCGTATTTTGCCCCTATGCTCCATGAGGGATATACCTGGATCCAAATTTACATGTAGATATTATGAAACGCAGGTACTAATATTATAACGTTTTCTCATGGAGAAAGGAAAAGGAAACCCATTCATGCCACACTAACTCTACCTGTAACTCCTTATAAAAGAGCAAACATAACGCAACTAATGTAATAATTGCTGATCGACGAGGACAGGGAACAAGGGAAATAACTGCTGTGTGGTAAACCTGTCGGACCTGAACAACCTCTGACGTACCAGGCTCCTGCAGTCGAACAAATATATTTTCATGGATTGATATACTTTAGTGGGTAACTAAATATAGTCATATACTGGAATTTCTTCGTCTGTGAGGATATCAATCGAGCTGTGTTATGTAGAATTTTCTACCTCGGTTCCATAAAAAGGGTAAGTAAATGTATTTGAAGTATAATTAAAGTCGATGTCAGACAGAATAACCACTTGTAATTAGAAACACCTTGGATCCTAACATAAAGGTCAAACTATTACTGTTTTAATAGTCCCAA